TTGACAATTATATTCTTTATTTTGTGGTCACATTACTTTTTTGAATAATTTACTTTGATTTAATTTTCCACAATATAAACATAATTATTTATGATAATAATGAATCTTTTCTTACTTAGTATAAGGATTAAAATATATCATATCAATTTGCATTGCTTTTACTTCGAAATGTATGTATTAAAAAGATGTTGGTATTACCATTAAATTGTAAAAATATTGAGGCTCACTTGTACAACTCTCATATCAAAATTCAAATAGCCGATTATTATACTTTTCAATAAAGTGAATTACTTGATTCTATGTCTAAAGATTCAGTATATTGAGCATCAATATTTTTAGCATATATTATAGTCTATAAAAAATTTGGTTGAAAAATATAATATCATCTCATTTGATATTGATTATAAGTTGTTAAAATAATGAAGCATATAATGTTACTAATTGATTGCATCCTCACAAAATACAAATCTTATTGGTTGCAACATAAATTGTGTCATGTTATCCATACATGAATTAAAAATGTGTCAAAAAAACCTCCAAATTATCCAATATTAGATTATATTGTTAAAAAAAATCACAATAAAATAGAATCTAGAAATAATATTCTAATAAACTTAAATTGTAAATTTGAGATGAAATAGCTTTAGGATTAAAATTCAATCATTAAAATACTTGGTTGATGAATCCTCAAAAATTTGATCTTGTGCCATCAAAATTCTTAAACAAAGCAATTCTTGATTCTTTAATACTTGAGTAGTGTCATGATATAACACAACTAACATTTAAAAGAATAAAGAAAATATTATATTTCAGAAGATCTTATTTCAAAATATTATCACAAATTATTTTAGAAATATAGATAATAGTCAAAGGATAATAAATTAAAATTACAAATGTTGCTTTTTTATAAAGTGAGCTTTTACTTACTTTGTAGAGCCATAAATAAAGTAAAATAAGGTAGATTAAAAAAATAAAAGATATAAGCATATATAAGAAGGAATTAGAAGTTGATTTTAATAAAAGATACTTCAAGAAACCAAAAATTGATACCTTAAGAAGACCAATTATTAACTTGGATTAAAATCAAACCCTAAGAGATATAATCAAGCATCTATGGCGTTTCCAAGATTTTTTTGCAAATCAAAGAGTAGAATTTGAAAGAAGAAATTATAGGATTTCTTTAAGCATTGGTTTTTAGTGTTTTGAGTTTATAATGACTTTGTAAAAGTTTTGCAAAGTTAAGGTTTTTTTGGGTGATTCTAAATTTTATTAAATAAAATAAGGTTTATAATTTGCTCAATTTTATGAGTCTAAAAGCAGATTTGCAAGTGAAATTTAATAGAGTTGTGAATATAATTTTGGTAAACATATGTTGTAAATTTGAACTTAATCAAAAAGTTAGATTGGAATTTATTAAAGTTCAAGTGAGTTAGGATCTTGGAAATTAGATTTTTAGGTTTAATAAGGTTATCTAAGATGTATAATAATTTTTTATTTGGATTGAGATAATTTTTATTGGAATTAATAATTGACTTGACTTCTAATACTTTTGCAAAATTTTTAAGGAAGTTAACAATTCATTTAGGAGTTATTACTATTGGAAGATCAACATTAATATTAAAGTTGGAGGCTAGTCAATACTTGAGTGGATTATAACATTTTTTTCCTATTTTGTAAGTTCGATTTTCTTCAAATTTATTGTGCTTGTTGTTAATTAAGAGATTAAGAGATGTATAAAATTTTAAATAAGATCAACAATTTAATCAATAGATATTGAAGTTCTAAAATTGTGCTAGGATTAGTTTGAATTGATTAGATTTTGGCTAGGATTTGCTTAGGATTTGATTAGTATTTGATTTAGAATTTGATTAGAATTTTATTTAAGATTTAATATCTAATTAGATTTGGTTTAAGATTTAGGATTTCTTAGGAATTTTTTAGAGTTTCTTTAGGATTTATTTAGGATTTCATAAGGATTTCTTTAAGATGCTTGTGGATTTTGTTAGAATCTCTTTAAAGTTTCTTTATTATTTCTTTATAATTTCTTTAGAATTTCTTTAAGATTTCTTTATATTTTTTTTATAATTCCTATGAAGATTTAATTAGACTTGATCAATATTTGATTATATTTATTAAGCTTTAATTTATTTCATATATGATTCTATTAGAATTATTAGGATTTGTTGTTGCAATTTTCTTTTATTTTCTACAACCAAGTGCCTAATGCATCCTCAATCAGAATTTTACATAATATAATAATACTATTCTACCATTAAAAAAGTAATATGATTTGATATAGATGTTGAAGTACCTCAAATCATCTCTATATCTTTATTTTTTGCTAATCTTATTGTTTCTTGTAGTAGTAAATTGAGTTAATGCATCGCAAGTATTAATTTTTTCATTCATTTTTGTATTTATGTCATTATAGTCTTCATTTCTACAAACTTTTTTATGATAATATAATAGAAAATAAGATATCTAATATTGCTTATAAAAAAATAATTAAATGCCAATAAAAAAAATAAAGAAAAATGCCAAAATAATATAAATTTAAAAGCAAGTAAATTATAATTTTTAATATACTTATGTCTTATCAAAAAAATAACCTATTCTTAATAAAAAAAAACATTAATATTATAATTATACTCTTATCAACATGTTAACAATTAGGATTTAAAGAATAAAAATAAATAAGTTAGATATTTTTTAAAAAAATATAAAATATATATATATATATATACATAGTTAAGAAAAAATTGAAATGACTATTGCCTAAAGACAAAAAAATTAAAGACTTGAAACTAGACTAGATGTAAAAAAGGAGTTGACAAGTATGAGGAAGATCTTATTTTTACTTCCATAAATACTATCTAACTAAGAGCTTTGTGGCAACATTCTATAGAACCTCTAATATATGTCCTACTTGCAAAACAAATGTCTAACTTGCAAGAAATTTTTTGTATAGATGCGCTACATATCCAACTTGTTGACTAAGTTTTTAAGCTATTAATTATCTATGGACTTATATAATAGCAAAAGCCATGTTTATGAAGCTTCTAAAAAGCTACTCCAAAAGATATTATCAAATTTATCAACTTTTATATATTTCTATCTATTTATGTTATCTAAATACTTATATAAATAAATATATGTATCTATGATAAATTAAAATATAAAAAAGGCATTGATAAGACTTAAAATAGCTTTAGTCTTATTTTTATGTAAATCTACTAATTAAAAATAATATAGAAGTTTTTTTGAACTACAAGGCTTCTATACCAAATTTATAAGTTATAAAATATTATAATAGTGGCTTTTTATATATAAAAAGTTTTTCTTTTATGTGGCATGCTTAGGAGATTTTATAGATCTAATTTATCATTAGGAATTTTTCTAAATATATTTCATAAAGATATTTAATATTATATATATATATATATATATATATATATATATACATATATATATATATAGATAGATAGATATAATTCTAAATCATTTAAATATGATTACATCTAAAACTTTCTATCAAATAAGAAATTACATAAAAAAATTAATTTGAGTTTTTTTAGATTTAAAATATAAAAATATAAATTTTTATATTTTATAAAATATTATTAAATTCTAATTTAAATATCAAATATATTTTTATTCTATTTTTAAATAATAAAAAATAATTTTATCATATTTTTTATAAATACACTTGGATTATAATTTTGAACTTAGGATTACATATTCAATCTATAAATAAATCTTCTAATTTTGAATTTGATTTTTTAAAATATTTTTAGCAATCTAATTTTTTTAAAACTAATAAATATTATTTTTACATTCAATAAGAACCAAAATTCGCTTTTGGTTCTAAAAACATATTTTATTGAAAAAATATCTCTCATCTTAAATAATTTAAACAAAAATAAATTAGATACTAGGTTTTTTAATAATATTTTTTTGTAAGTATAGCTTTAGCATGTATAACACTTTTTATAATGATAATAAACTATAAAAAAATTCATATATTTCTTAAATAAATAAAAATAGATAAAAATATATTAAAAAATTAATGTATTTTTCTTTAAAAAATAAATAAGCTTCTTAGGTTGAAATTAGATCTATAGACTCTTTTAAATTTATTAAGTGGATATAGAAATTTCTTTTAGAAGTTCTTATTTTTAAGAATCCACTATAAAACTATTGCACAACTTTAATGCTTAACTCACAAGCCTTATAGTTATAGTTGTTTAAAATCTTATATGTGGCTTATTTATAATTAATACATATAGAGGAAAGATTAATTTCTTTCTTATTTTTTTATAAATTTTTATATTCTAATTTTAATATAAGATTCATATTATTTCTATATTTAGAAATTTTAATTTTAATTTATTTTTATATTGAAAAAAATATTTATTTTCTTTTCATTTCTTTCTCTTCTTTCTTAATGGAGAATGAATATATTATCTTTTCAAATAATTTTGTAGATTTATATCATTGGTATAAACAACATGATATGTTGTTAGCTAATAATATTATATTTCAAAAATCTTATTTATTATAGAATTTTAAACATCTTATTTCTAAAAAATTCATTAAAAAAATAATCTTTAATTTATATTTAATTTATTATTTTTAAATCATATAATTAATAAATAAATAAAATTATATAGCTCACAATAATATAACTTCAATTCTTATACACAACCAATTTAATGTGTAACTTTAAAATGTGTTTGCTTTACTTTGTGGTGCTATTATGGCTAAAATCCTATAATTTTTGCAAACTTCTGGTTGATTAATTATTTTTTCCATAACATTTTGAGAATGGTATAAGGAACAATGATTTTGTTTTGGAAGGCAAGGAAGAAGGAAAGAGGCAGGAAGTGTGAACGGGGCCAAGAGAAAGCAAGGGAGGAGCAAGAAAGAAAGAGGCAGGCAGTGTGAACGGAGGAGGGAAGATCGATTAGGGTTAGGGCGAGGGGGACGGAGATAGAGCATAGCGATGGAGGGGAGCACCGGGGATGTTCCTTACCCGATTCCTGCAGGGCTGCTCCTCCTCCTCCTCTGCCCCTGCGCTGTGTCGCACCGCATCGCTTCGCTTCGCAGCTATGGTGTTCCGCCGGTTCGTGGAGATCGGGCGCGTGGCCCTCATCAACTACGGCCCCCAGCATGGCAAGCTGGTCGTAATTGTCGACGTCATTGACCAGAACCGGGCGCTCATCGACTCCCCGGACATGACCCGCACTCAGATCAACTTCAAGCGCCTCTCTCTCACTGATATTACCATCCCTGACCTCTCCCGCACCCCCTCGAAGAAGGTGCTCAAGGAGGCCTATGCCAGCGCCGAGGTCGACCAGAAGTGGGCCAGCAGCGCTTGGGGCAAGAAGCTCGCCGTGCGTGCCAAGAGGGCTAGCTTGAACGATTTCGACCGGTTCAAGGTTATGGTGGCGCGCGTGAAGAGAAGCTCTATTGTTCGTCGGGAGCTTGGAAAGTTGAGGAGGGAAAAGGCTTAGGTCTGTTGGACACCTGGTATGAGAATTCGGTGTCATTGGTTTCTTGTCTCTTGTGTGGTTTTTTGTAGCACGAAATGCGTGATTTTTTATAACAACTTGTCCTGGTTCTACCCGTTGAGCACAATCTTCCAAAAAAACGTCACGTACTTTTCTGCGCCTTTTCTACGTGGGCATCATTTCATCTGCTGCCTTGTTTCCTGAAATTTTGTGGTGTTCTCCATTCCGGAAGTAGAATTGAGTTCCTGACAGTGTTCGTTTACCAGCACGTGGTTTTCTATAACATTTGGTTTAGGGTTCTACTCAAATCGGTTTCAATTGATAATCACGATATATTGCGGATTAACAGACTTAGTCTGTATTGGGCGTGCTGTATATTCAGCGTCCTGGAGGTAGTTTAGTCGACGTTAGGTGGAAGCAGCATCGTCATCATTCGGTTTAGCAAAATTCAGGTTAGATGCAACTTCGTTCAGTTTAGAATGTCGACAAACTGGTTATCTGGATCTAACGAATTCAGACCATCCGTGAACAATGTGTCGTCTGAAGCATGAGCAGCAAGTTTAACGGACAGTAAATTTGCGGTTGGGGTCTTTTAAATATATGATAAAATTATCCAAGAATCTTAGACAATCTCGAGTTTGTAGAGATTCTTGGATAATTTTATCATATATTTAAAAGTTTCAATATAATCTCTTAATCACGGTCTTTCTCATGGTGAAGATAGTGCCTTTTAGGTCAAGCCTGAAAATTGCATACGGATACGCGATTTCATATATTTTGAAATGTTTACTTTCCCTCATGCTATCTAGCGGCACTTCTACACTCTAGAGAATTACTGTCTTTTCTACACTCACATTCTTCAAAACTGGTTTTAAGGGGCTAATACGTAGTACTGATTTACTGTAACTCTTTCACTCTTTCTGTATTTCACACATGATCCCTACAGCAGTTTTCATGGCTCAGTTTTGACGTTCTAACTATTCAGCTGCGTTCATTTTGACGACCTTATTGCGTGCTTGGCAGAACGTTTTTAGCATTGGGCAGACAGTTGGATTAGCAGCGGCGCTAGGCTGCTCTGCCGCAATCAGTAGCTACGATTGAGAAGCAGAAGTCTGTTGATTCGGTCTAAGTGTTTACACCATATGTTCATTTGAGCATATGTCATCCATCGTGTTGGATTCCCCAAGCGTATTAAATCCTTGAATATTGTTCAACCCTAATTCTGATAAAGATGAGCCATGCCACATGTATTTGGCATATTCATTTTATTTATTGATCAATGCATCTGTTTGAAAGGTTACATGTACTTAAAGATTACAGTGTGGTGTTGCTCAATGCTTTCTGTGTTCAATGTATTTAAAAGGAAAGTGAAATGAAGTTGGAATCTCTTCGTTTTGTATAGGCGGATTGTTATTTGTGGGCTTAGAGGGACAGCCTTTTGCCAAATACATGAGAGTGCATCAAGCTATCCAGAATACTATTTTCTCCACATTCTTTCAATAGAGTCAGCAATCATTCTTTGAAATTTAAGAGTACTTACATATTTATATTAGTAATTACTTAGATTAGAGGAGGTAGGTGGAAGTAAGTAGAAGCAAATAAATTTAATAATATCTTATGGAGAAGCTTCTTAGAAGCTCTATAGATGTTGATTTGACCTTCTAAGTGGTAGGTAATTGATAGGTCAAAAATTAGACCAACAAGTTTCACATGTTGTACATATTAACCAGTTGTTTCTTAGATTATGTTGTACATGTTGGTCACTTGTATAAGTTGTCACATATATTGAAAACTTGCATTGCAAGTTAGACTCATGTCGTGCAAATTAAATACATGTTGGATGACTTATAGAACATCATTGCATAGCCCCATACTTGAATAGTATATATAGAGGCAAGAGTAAGGCTTTCTTCACTCTTGTCATTTTCTTTCTTGTTCTTATCTTTATTTTAAGAACCCCTAATTTTCTTGTATTTAACAATAGCTATTATAATTTTTAGCTTATAACTATCTTTGATTTGTTTATTTTCTTATTTTAAATGTTATAGAATTATTTTACTTCTATAGAGTTTTGTTATGATTTGTGTTTTTTCTAATTTAATAAGAATATTAATTTATTGTTATTCTTTTATTTTATAAATAGAGAAATTATTCTACTTCTTTTATTGTGTTTTAAAAATTGTAGACTACTCACTTTTAAACTAATTTTTTTATTTATTTATTTATAACATTGATTCTTTTCTTAATGAAAGTAGAATACTTTTCTTTGTGAAGATTTACGTTATATATTTGAGATTATGAATTACTTGCCTTTGTTTTGATTTGTGAATTTATTAAAGTCTTCTATTTTAGTGATAGAAGAAAAATAAATTATAGATGCTACAATTGGTAGAAGTGAGAATAGATTTGCAACTAATATAGAGCTTTACAAGCTTTTCAATATTCTTAGAGCAAAAAATTTACATATTTTTAATATTAATCATAGATATATTATTTCTATGTTTATAAAAAAAACAATAATGACATCTAATGCCTACACTAATAAGTTATGTAGTTGACAGAAGTAAGTAGATCAATTTCACAAGTAAATCCAAATGTCTTGCTATAA